GACATCTTGACCATCAAAACCATCACGGGCATCTGCCCGTCGAACCCGGCTCGTCTTGCCCGTCAATCAGCGCCTGATCGACACCCTCTCTTCCAATACACATGCATCCAAAAGCATGATCCTGGCTCCGATCTTGAGACATTGTACCTTCTGTAACAGGAAAAGACCCTCTGCCCGTCAGGGTGCCAACATCCCAAGGCGTCTGAGACGTTCCCATAAAGGCCTCGCGAAGAGTCAAGAGTTTACCAAGGCGTTAGCAGTGGCGGTAAGCCCAGTACCATTCCCTCCCGTCTTTGTCTCTCAACGCTTCGTCCTTCTTTCTCTTCCCAAGTTCCAGTTGTGACCGAGCACTTCGTGATGTCGGTCCCTCTCCACCGCCTGCGTGTTCACACGTTCAGCTAGTCCCCATCATACAACGTCGAGCATTCTGTTACCCAAAACAGCCTGGTCCAAGTCCCATTAGCGTCGACCCACGTAGTAGCCATAACGGGGCCACCAGACTTTCAATGTCATTGTCCTCCATTCCTCGATAATCTCATCTTTCTGCCCTTTGCTTTTTGTTTCGTTTCGTTCATCTCCAGCTTTTCATCTCCAAATCTTTAATCTTATCTCAGGTCCCATATTGTGCCAGTCTTCCCACTCGTGACCTCTAAAAAACCTGAAACCACAATCTCATTTGCAAAGACTCTAAATCGAGAGATTACTCGCATTTTGGGGGCGATAATGATCGTCAACTTGGCAAGCGGGAAGAGAGTGCCGATGCTACACCATGGGCAGAGTGATGTGGATGAGGTATCCGGCTTGGCGTTAACTTGCTCGAGGTGTTGAGGACAGCTGTGAAGTTGAAGTTGAAGTTGATGAGATTGATGAGATTGGCGGAGCAAAGAAACGCTGCAATAACACCTTCGAGCAACGAAGTAACCCTCCTCTTCACTTGTCTTCACTGTAAGACGACACTGCATCTCGACATCAGTGGCTTGAAAGTCTCGAGTCAAGAAAAACTGACCCGTCATGAAATGGATCTGACGGGTGTACTTCTAGCACCGTGCAAGAACCGATAGCACCGAGTTCGGTACTTCAAGGGTGAGTGATGCCGGTAGTTGACCGGTTTCCTATTGTCAAGTGGAATGGTCCCTTACACCGTCAGTCAACTTTCAACACCATCAACGGTCAGATACTGTACCTGAAAGCCCTCTCGTTCCAGACACATCCTTCCCCCGCATCTTTGGCTTGCAAACTTTCCTTTTGCTCTTCACAATTCCCCGACGCAAGGCCGTTCAAATCCTCCGGATGGCTTGACAACAGTCAGTTCCATTCTGTTTTCCTTGCTTTTCAGCTTGCCTCTGCTTAACTTTCAGGGCTTCAACTCCAGCAGCCTCGTCTTTTCATCGTACGAGCTCGTCATAGAGTCTCACTGCTGCGTCGAACGAGGAGAGGCAAGCTGTTGCCTGTGAGTACCTTATGTCAGTAAGTTGCTTCATCACACGCAATCGAATCGACCTGTCTCCCATCAGCATGCCTCACCTGCAGAGCTGTGAGAAGTCTCACCTGCCAAATCAGTTCGAGAGTCAGGTACTTCCCCCTCTAGCCCTCTAACCCTCCAGTGAGGATCATTACCTCCGGTTCCCTCTCCGGCAGCGGCACTCCCCTCGTGCTTATCCCACCTCCTCCCACGTCTCTGCATGTCCCCATATGCCTTGCTCCATCCTAGCCCACGCACTTCCATCCACTCACGTCTATCCCCCCAAAGGAACCCGGCGTCGCTGGCAAGCCTGCAAAGCATCCCTGCTGCTGATCACTTCAATGATCTTCCCCTTCTGGCCCTGGAGATCATATCTTGTTCATGCACGAACTTGCCCTCTTCCTGGGGACGATTGACAAGTCGTCAATTTCTCGCCCTAAACCACGAGCCCGAGATACCGTGGCTCCGTGGCGAGCATGTCCGTAGTGTATGCAGGTGACGGATCTCCGCGCGTGTACAGTCCGGTTGGTGAACATGTGTACCTACCTACTTCTTGAAGGCTCATTAGACCAGTATCCCATGGAAGTGGAAGTGTCGGGATCATCCGGGGCCGTTGTCCGACGTGTTAGAAGTACAGTACCTCTTCGTACCTACACTATAGTTCTGTCGGCATCGACTATCTCATGTGGAGTGACAGACCAACCGCGGAATGGATGATGGACATCCGGGATGCCATCGTTCACTGCCGCAATGTTCCGCGTTCGTAGAGGTACATTTGACGAATGGCGATGGATAAGGCGAGCTGTGACTGGTAAGGCGCACCGGTTTCGGTGTCTTTTCTCTCAATTTCAGTTGAGTTGGCAGTTGGAACATTTGATACCTCTACCTCTACCTCGTCTTGACACTCACCTTTCACACGCAACTTCCCGGTAGAGGTATACCCTGACTAGTACCGTATTCAACGGAGCTCAGGGGCAGTCAACGTCAAGGACGTGGATAGGGCGTGTGTTTCAGACAACCCGCAAAGACTCAAAGAGCTGTTCCTCCCACCGTGGTGGGTTCTGGTAGCTCCGTCTTACTGCTTCGCCGGTTGAACTATCACCCTACCGTCTCAAACCACCCCGCACAAGTGAGCAACAAGTCTCATTGTCATCAAGGTTGTCACATCAAGCATGTGATAGAAGTTGTAGACTGGACCCACGTACCCGTTTTGGTCACTCTACCTCTAGTACCGTTCCTGCTTCCTGTTGCCACTTCCGGTCAAGGATCTCGCTTCCAACTCCTCGGTGTATTCCAGTCGACAGCCTGAACCAATAGACTCGTTGCCTTGCCGAACTTCTCGCTTAATACAGGCTCAAACAAACTCGTCTTCCTTGGGTCTTTGGGTCTTGACGGGCTACCTAGTCCCTCTCCAAGTACCTGTACGCTTCTCGGCATGTTTTTGGATCTCCCAGTCTCTTCCATTATCTTTGTCTTTGGCTTCAGAGGTTGATGTACCCGCCCGCTACCCAGACTGTTACATGGCCCTGACAATCCGGAGGGGTAGCTCCAGCAATCACCACGACTCTGACTGCCTGGAGGTGGTGATGGCCCAGAAAGGAACAAGGCGGTCGAAGGTCAGCGTGTGATCTGCTCGTGTGTACACCTTCAGGTACGAACAAGCTCGATAGAGCCAAACAGATGCGCGAGCCGAGCTGCACGCTCGGAGGTATGTCGGGTAGCAGGGAGAGTGGGCAAGAAAGGAGCGATGGGGCCACCCCATGCACAAGTGGTTCCTGTATCTTGTTGTATGGCACTCGTGGGGTCTGCAGAGTGGCGTGTCATGGGAGTAATACAGGCATCTGGGTTAACACAAGGTCAGCTTCAGGGTACACGACTCAACAACGAACATGAAACGGCATCGCAGAGACATAGATGATGGTGCAAAGAATGAACGAGTGGTACATGGATCAAAGAAACACGAAGGTCAAGTGCGAGAGTTTATGCAATGTGGATGTCTTGATTGGGTCTATGAACAACTTGTAACCTGACGACGACAACACCGAACACCAGCGAGAGCCGACACCACCAAGAGCCAGCACCACCAAGAGCCAACACCACAAAAAGCCAACACCACAAAAAGCCAACACCACAAAAAGCCAACACCACAAAAAGCCAACACCACAAAAAGCCAACACAAGCTGTTGTGACGAACAGCCGTACCTGTAACTCACCGTTGTCAGCAGTGGTCTGGTGTTGCTAGTGGTAGTGAGAACTTACCAAGAGTGATGGGTTCGTTCACCACCAGGGTCGCGGCACGGACCGCGTTCTTGGGAGAAGCAGCGGAGATTTGGAGTCCGAAAGGACAGGTAGGGAAGAAACGAAGAAACGATGTCGAAAGCAACAACACCGAGAACGGAACGCGTTCTTGGGAGAAGCAGCGGTAATCTGCGTCGACAAAAAGGAAGAGAACGCTCTCTCTGTGAAGAGTGTTGAGACGCACGCGGGACCGCGTTCTTGGGAGAAGCAGCGGAGATCTGGATGAGGCGGGGCCCCGAGGGGACGGACATCTGGAACAGCATCAAGTGGATGTCAGTTAGGTAGGTATTGAACCGAAAGGTGTTGGGTGAGGATGGGGAAGGGAATTGGAACTTACACGGATCCAGAGTCCGTCCCCTCGGAAGGTTCAGGGGCCTCATCAATTGTATGCCCCGGCATGACAAATAAATGCCAAAGAGGGCAATCATCTTGACGAAGCATACTTCCACAGCTCCTGATTGAGGAGTGGAATGGTCAGATCATGTCGGGAGTCCAGGCTTGACAGGAGAAGACATACCTCGAGTTGCTGGATGTCGATGGCTTGGGCAAGGTCTTGCTCAAGGTAGGTGACGAAGGGGAGGCAGCGGTCGTGTGTGACCGAGGGGTTGCGGGGGCCGCCTCCCCTTCGTCTCGTAGTTGTCTTGTCGTGTGTGTGTCCACATCTTGGCCAGGATGGTGGCTGTCCTTGGAAGAGGAGAAGGAGAAGAAGAAGAAGAAGAAGAACAAGAAGATGTGTTCATCTGTGGTGTCGCGGAAGACATTTGGACGAGGTGGTCTTGAGTTGGAGGTGATGAGTGATGATGGAGGAAGAGAAAAAGAAGAGGAACAGAAGAGGGGGGACGGAGAATTTAAGCAAAACTGGGTCAAGCCAAACCCTCTTCAGCGCACAGAAAGGTCACGTCATGGAGTTCGTAGCCCTAGCACGTCAGTCTCCCAACAACGAAACAAGTGGCAGGTGCAGTGGCAGCCAAATGCAAGCCTCGGGACCGACGAGAGCTTCAATTTCCCCCAAGAAGCAGGAGCAGCTCAAGCCTGAGCACTGGCAGCAGACCAGTGGACACGGGAAGTACCTGGGTACAAGGGCAAGTCTCCAGACAGGCAGGCAGGCACGTACGCGCCTCCCGTTGGCTCTCAAGGGCAACTGGGCAAGGTACCGAGCGCAGTCACCCGCTACCCGCTCCCCCTCCTCTCGGGGTATATGTATTAGGTCTTTGGGTACTCCTTCCAACAAAAAACCAATGTGCGGTTGGCGCAGTGGTCAGCGCGTTGGCATTCTAAGCCGGAAGGTTCAGTGTGAGATGAGTGTGGTCGCGCCCCTCATAGCTCACCAGAATCCGGGGTGGCTGCCAAAGGTCCTGGGTTCGACTCCCAGATCGCACATCTCTTTTTGCGTTTATGCTCTTGCTGCTTTTTTTGTTGCTTGATTCTTCCCTTGATAGAGGTACTCGTGATGTCTTCAACGTGTTCATGTCCCACGTCTCCCTCTGTCTTTTACAAGAGGCCTCGGTTCACTTCTTCTTGGGTCACAAGTGCCTTGTTCGTGACTGTTGCCTGCCCATCGCCCAGAAGCTTTGTTTTCAAGTAGAAAGATTGAACATCCCGGTGATCAGGTCATCCTCATCTTGCTACTTCCTCGTCAGAAAGACGGAGATTGCCGTGAATCCACGCCGACACCATGACAGAAGATGAGACGCCTACCGGGTGCACTTGATCAAAGCCCAGCCCATGGAATCTTGGAAAGTCACACCACTCAAGGACCATTCACAGCACAATTCTCGTCAGAAAAGGACAAAAAGGAAGGATCGAGCTGAGTTCCATGCAGGAAACGGTTGATTCCGTCGAGTGTCTAGTACTTCCTTCATTTTTTCTATCATCAACTGGAGGAGTCAATGAGCTCTTTCCGGTTCAGACACAGAAGGACTCGAAGGAAAGAGACGGAAAATTCTTGAGTGTCGCTTCTCTGCACGAGGAAAGAGTCAGCCGTCGTGATGATCTGTCGAGTTGAAGTACCGAAGACACCCCCTCTTGTTACAAGAAAACCGGGGCCGGAAGTAGATGTACCTACCTCTAGCTATCAGTCACCGGCTCGTCATAATCACACGACGTAATCCGTGATTTCCTTTCGCAAATCGAGACTGGAAGGACATAACCACCTGCGCTCTTCTTGGACCTTATCACCTGCAACACGAACCCAAGTGGAAATCACACTGACGGAAGCAGACCGGGGAAACACCGAGGTTAATCTTGCCAATAGCAACCGTCGAGGTCTCTTCCAGGTAGAACATTGTTGGCGATATTGAAGCGTTGGGGAAAGGACCTCAATCCGAAGAGACTGCATGGTCTTGCTGAACAGAACATCACGACTGACATGGCGTTCAACTTGAAAGTCTGCCACTGTGGCGTGTGATAGGTAACATCCCGAGGAAACTGAGAACGAGCTCAAATGCCAGAAGCAAGATGCGCCGCACTGTCGGTTTGCTGAAGATGCTTGATGGTTGAAGCAGGCGACGGTGAATCCTGATGACGGCGGCAGCTCAAAAACCTGGAAGTGAGAAAGGGAAAGACACTCAATCGTAGAGTACCTCTACCTACGGAGATCTTCGTAATAAAAGCCGGACAGGAAGGGGAGAAGGACAAGAGCTATCCTACCAGGACGAGTCTCTTAGAGGTACAATACAGCTTGCATGCGCTGACGCGGAGTTACGCATGCAAGGAATGGCGACATGGTACATGTACGTCAAGCACAGGTCACAGGGGATAAGCAGGAAGATGCACAAGTAAGATCACAGCGAGAGTCACATTGCAAAGATCAGATTAAGCGCGGCAGAAGAACTTCATGTTGTCAGAGAGAGAAAACTGAGCCAAGGCCAGACCGAAAAGAAGCTCCAAACTCCAACCGCCAAACGCCAATCGCCAAACTCCATGCCATCCAGGGTATCAAATCGCCGGAAAAAAACAGCTCGCAAATCGTCCACATCTCCTCCCCTCCTCCCCCTCCCCACCCCCCCTCCGGAAGAGCTCCTCCTCCGCTCCAACTCGAACTTGGTAGTGTCGCGCTTTAGCGGCGCGTCGCCGCGGCCTCGGGCCTTGTGGGCATGTTGACGAGAGGGATCTCGTCGTGGTCGGGCGCTCTGCCCGGGGATGGTTCGAACATGGTGTCGCGACGGCGCGCTGTGATGAGAAGAAAGCGTTAGCGAAAATAGTTGCAACGGAAGTGACTGCCCGGGTGAGGAAAGATGACGGAAGGAAGTGATGAAGGAACAAGCAGAAAAGGAAGTGTGAACTTACGCCCATATCGTGCAACTCCTCGGCGTTCTCTCGACCACTCGAGGAAGGAGAGCGTGGCGTACACCACGGTGCCAGTCGCGGCAAAGATGCCGCACATCAGCAGCACCAACTTGAGGATGTCGGCCGTGTCTTCGTTGTTGGTGGCTTCCATTTTTGTGGTGGTGGCTTGGATTGGAAGTGGTTGTTGGTTTTGTGAGAGGTTTGGAAGTGACAAGAGTGTGTGGTTGTCTGGGGAAAAAAAAGAAGAAGAAGAGGAGAAAGTTCTGCCACGGATTCCAAATCTGGGAGGGTTTTTATACCCCTCCAGAGGCAGGTACCGAGCGAGTGCAAATTTCGACAACTGGCAGACAGGCAGGAGACTGGACGAAAGAAAGTTTTGCCAGTGGCAGACCAGGAGGAAAGCTGGCGAACTGAACGGAAGGAAGTGGTCGTCTGGCAGGAACGACGAAACCAAAGATCAGACGACGGGACCGAAATCTTCTGCGAGCTCCCGTCTGAAGTGGAGGCCTAACTGCCTCCTACATGCAGGAACAGACGGCGGAGCAATCACCGAAGGGGACTCGGGGGATGACGAGATAAGAGCAAAAGGCAAGAGCGAGGACTAGGCGCGAGCAAGCGGGCACAAAACTGTCAGGCCTCAAAAGTTTCTTGGCTTCAAGTAAGGGCAGTCACTACATCTAGGCCAGAGACGCTGTTACGAGCAACGACGTGGGCACTCTCGAAGTTCCATCTGCATTTTCTCCCTGGAAATCGGGTTTTGTCCTTTTCATTTGGATCTGTTAGCAGGACAAAATCCCACAAGTTGCAAGACAGTAAGGTCACGAAGCAGAATTCACGAGTGTAGTATTGAACAGAAGAATGCACTTCCAGTCGTTTGCTCAGCAGGAAGGGACAGAAAGAGAGCGTGGGTCCAGACGGATGATATCAGGCAACGGGACCGAACTTCCAACAACTCCCCAGCAACTTTTCGAGTTCCCGTCCTGGAGCAGGGGCACCTGGCCACCAGTTCGCAAGAGCCGCATCCAAGATCAGAAGGAGTACGTACCTACCTAGAGGTACTACCTTGGGCCCTTGGCTTCTTTCAAGGTCACTTCCTTTCAGCCCCACCCTGTTTTCTGCTCCCGTCTCAGCCAGACTTGCTGCCACATCCTTCGTTGATGATGCAGTGGTTCAAGAAGCAAGCCGCTTTCACCAACGAGTTCGACGTCGCCAAGCAGAACATGGTCGCGGAGGGATTGTACCTGAATTTACACAGGGCGATCAATAAGAGAAGGAGTTTCCATCTGGCACTTCGTGAATCCCGATATTGAATCGTGTACCACGACCAGGAGGAACTCAGCTGGCATGGAAGAAGACTAGATGTAGCTAAGATGGAAGGAAACGAGCAAAGATGGCCCAAACGGCGGGCAATGTGGGACGAAGCCCCGACGTCCTCATCCAGAGCATTCTTGCCTTCCTCCAGAGCGGTTGCCAGCCCCACTCACTAGGATCACTGACCTGGAGCCGCAAACAGCCAGAGGAAGGGAGAGGTACCCGCGTACCTCCTTCCTTCCCGTTTTGCTTCCAGTCCTTCCGTCACGGCCTGGAAGCCCAAGATATTTTTGTACCTTCTGACATACCCCTGTCACCTCTTTCTGCCTGCCGCTCTCCTGCCCCGCGTTTCTGGTCTCCGTCGTCTGCCCCGCCTCTGCCCCTCGCTGTCCATGTCTCCGTTGCCGTGCAGTGTGAGAGGAAGTTGCCTGCCGTCACTCGCTTTTACATCGGGCAGGAAAGACACCTTCGTCTTGGAGAAACAATGTTGAGCAAGAGAGAAAAGAGCTGTTAACACTGGATACAAGCCGGGGATGATATCGACATGGAATCACGGTCAAAAAAATGAGTGTCTGACGTTGCAAATCTGGTTCTTTGACTTTGTCGATTGGTTATGTCCTCGAGCCGTAAAAGTTCAATGTAGATGTCGCTAAGCTCTCACGTTGGAGCGTCTCCCAGCACTTGATGAACTGTTGGGAACATAAATGGGATGTGATGCCGAGTTGAGTTCGAGTCATGCTGTTTCTGTTAGAGACACTCTCGAGTTTCTTCATCACTACCATGGTTTTTTTGGTGATAACCCTCGCCTCCTGACCTCTTAATGTTGCTTTGTGCTCGCATCTAATCGCCGACTTTAGTGTCAATTGCCAGTCATGGATTGTCCTGAACCTGTAATGTCTGACCGAGATTTGAGCGCCAAAACGCGAGGGAATCTTCCCCACTCAGAACATGAAGTTGTTGACGTTTTCAGCGCCAGTCAAACATTACGGGGTGATGGCTGTTCACAGGTGAAATCTTCGTATCAGCCCTGGGAAGTGAAAAGAGATCTGAGGGCAGGAAGGACACTCTTCGTTATTGAAACCAAGAACAATGCAGCAGTATCTGGACATGGACTTCATGAACGCAAGGATGTATGAAAAGGACTTCATCTTTAGTCCAAGATCAACTACTGCCTTGAAGAGAATGAAGACTTGGATGTCAGTGACTCCACTACAGAAACTCATGGGACACTCAAGGAGAAGATGGATGACAGTGTATTTAACGTCTTCTATGCTCCTGCTAAGCCCAGGTAATGTATCTACTTCCTCCCTCTACCACCTCCCTCTACTTCCTCCCTCTACCTCCTCCCTCTACCTCCTCCCTCTGCATCCGCTTTCAGCGACGAGTCCCAGGTTTGGGACACGACGGAAGATGCGGTCGAGCCCAGGACAGGCAAGGCCCTCTTCCATATATCGATTAGCGCGTTGGGAGGGACGGCGGACTCCTGGTCCCGGCATTGGTGGTGTATCCAAGTGAAGGTGGAGCAGCGTCGAGTTTCTCGTTCTCCTCTCAGAGGGGAGAAGGAGAAAGTGGATGAATTCAATGATGACTGCACTTGATGCTGAATATCATGGCATACTCATGGCGTTGAGGCTCTACCTGGTAGGGCTGACGAGGTTGTACCGGTACAAGGCAGAACGAGGGGACAACTGTCTTCTTCGGAGAAACAAGTTAGTCTTCGTCAGTGTACTGAAAGGTAGTCGCAGCACAACAGAATACTGCCAAGTGAATGTGGAGAAGCAGACACGCACCTTTTTTTTTTTTTTTTTTTTTTTTTTTTTTTTTTTTTTTATGTTCGTTATCTGTTAGCAAAGTGTTGGGTTGTTGGTTCCCGCCACTGCCTTTGAGGGACCGCGGACAGACGCGGAACCCCATGTGAGCGAAGTTTGATGGTTGAAATGACGCTCGAACAGGCATACTCGCCGGAATGGTTACACGCCAGAGAAAGGCCCCAGCGGTGCCGCTGCTCATGCCACTCATGCTGCTGTCCCCAAGCAGGCCGCAGGGAGGGTATTGGCTGTGTAGGAAGTCGTCACTGGCCCCCCCTGCGGCCTGAACACAAAATGCTGCAGCTCAGACTGCCGTGATGTCTTCTGGTGCGGTATCCCATAGCGTGAGCTCAGGTGCTGGACTGGGGAAACACCCCCGGTAACGTGCCAGGAACACTGCCACTCCAGTGGTAGCAAAACCGGAGGTCCCGTTACGTGCTATCGGGAGCACTCGGCCAGTCGGCCCCCACAGGTGATGTGGGGACCAAGCAACTGGGTTGTTGGAGGCTGAACGGCGACAGGAAAAAGGCGGTGTATTTCCTAGGTCAGGGAAAGAGGGGAAACGGAAGCCAAGGCCAGGCTAAACACCCTGGAAGGACATGCCCGTGAATGGCGAAGAGTAGTGAAGGCAAAACCAGTGAATGGCAGGACCTTCCAACAAGATTTCTCAAGTTTGGGATCCCGGAGGCCGATGATGTCGGATGTCATCGATTGTTGGTGTTGGATAGGCCGTCGATGAACATGGGGAAAGGAGGAGCCTCTTCAAATCCTGCATGTAAAGTCGTGCTCGTTTCGACTGTAAGGCAGTACCACGGAGACGAACTGGCCCTCAAGGGAAGAGCTTCTGACCGTGATCTGAAGCTGTTATCTCCCACAGACCAAAGACTGCTGTAGCTGTGCCAGTGTAAACGAACAAAGACTGAACGGCGACGACAAAAAGGAAAAGAGTTTGATTCAGGAATGGTCTACCGGAAGGGGAGAAACAAAGACCAACGCATGTCGGTAAGTGAGCAAGGCCAGTGGATGGTGGCCGAGAGAGGAACAAACTTTCAACAAGTGCGAAACCTCTGCGGGGTGCTAACAGACACCGGAAGCGTCATCTGAGCACGAGATGCTGTCGAGAAAAATGGCCACCTGGGTTGCCGTAGGGAGTCAAGTCGCTGTATCTGAAAAGTGTCAGTGAACTGTATTTTGTGAAACTGAAAGTGCTCTATTCCCAGCAGGAAGAAGTGGAAAGTTCGCAAACACCAAGGTGCAGCGGAAGTGACACTCACAGCTTGTATCCTTTACCTCCTTGCCCCGCGGACGAGGGATCCCGTTGCCTATGGGGACGCTGGTCACATAAACCTGGATGCGAGCCTTGCGAATGACCGCATGGGGCGGGGGCGGGAACGGGCCCGGGACACGGGGGGTCTGGTTTTGGGGCTGAGTGCCCGTGGTCACCTCCGCCTGGACCGCGCTGTCTGCGGTAGACGCGGTGGGCTGAGCCGGATGTGGAAACGGACCGGGGCAAGTGGTACTGGGGATGTGACTCTGCTTCGCCTGCTCGTTGTGAGCTTCATGCTGCTGCTGCGCTTGTTGTCAGCCGAGAGACCTCCATACGGCCCCGATATGTGTCGGACGGGAAAGACAAAAGACGTTGGCGAAGGGAAAAGAGGTTGGACAGACCACTTACTGGCGAAGACATGATATGATGAAGTGACGAAGGGGTTTCGGGGTTTGCTATTGAGAGCTCGTTGGTTGCGCTTGTGATGGTGGGTTGAGAACTTCGTGTGTTCGTGATGATGGAGGAAAGGAAAGCAGAGGAAGAAAGTGGGAGGAAAACGACAAGTTGGAACCCTGCGATGGTCTTACTGCCTCCCGTTTCCAGAGCTCGCTCAGTCTAGCACCGGGTAACAGCATGGCTGCCTGCCAGTCAGGGATTTTCGTCACGTCATTCCCAATTTAACATGGTGGCCAGCCTCTCGAAAGGAAGTGGAAGGAAGGTACGATGAGTCTGGAGTCCGCGGGGCCAGACCTGTCCCCAATAGCCCGCGGCAGTACGAGGAAGATGTACCCAAGTACCTCGAAGTGGGTAGATAAGGGACTTTCCCAGACCTGCACTTCAACAAAAAAAAAAGCGCGGTTGGCGTAGTGGTCAGCGCGTCCACACTCGATCTTTTCATGTGGGTTGAAATCCCCGCCGAACCAAGGTCAAAGACCGATTCTGGGGGGCAAACAAAAAGTGTAGTGTTGTGGAAAACCCAGGTTCGAATCCTGGACCGTGCAATTCATTTTTTTTTCTCTTTTTGTTTTTTTTTAGCGTCTAATGTTAACGCATGTCTGGCAGCCTGATAACGTTGAGGTTCTTTTGCTTTTTGGTGGTGTAATGCTGGGCATGGATGTCTTCATGCATGTCCCTTTTTGCGGTCAACATTGAGAAATCGCAGACACGGTGTTTGACAGACATTCAGAAATTGTCTTGATCAACAAGGGTTAAGTTCAAACCAACTCAGACGCTGCAAATCTGGAATTCAAAAGTGTCCCTCTGGATCTAGTTACGTAGAGAGCTGTTATGGAGTAGTGAAGTGGCCAAAACTCGCGTCTACCTCTATGGCTGATGACATGGAACACTTCTTGTAGGATACGGTTAATCTCCGAAGGTGCTATGGCATTGTCGAGGTAGGTTATCCTCTCTTCTCTTTGAGTTCACCCAATGTCAGGCATAATGGTGGTGTTGATGGATTTTGGCAACGGGAAGTAGGATACCTAAGATATCGATTTGAGTTGTACCTGCATGAATGCCCCTGGTCAATGGAGACATAAGGAAACAGGACAGGAACGCCTGCAGGAACCCCTGGGGCTTCATGTCCCCCTGTGGATGAACCTTTGTATGCCGGCCGGCAACTCCCAGATCCCGTCAGATACCGGCAGTACCTGCAGGGTGCCAGGGCAGGCAGGCAGTCGACCGGGCGGCCACGAGCAAGGGAGCTGTAAGGCACCCGCACCTGCAGGAAGGTGCCCCAGACATCAACCGGGCTTTATGTATTAGGTCTTTGTGTCCAAATTTCAACAACCAAGAAGCACAGTTGGCGTAGTGGTCAACGCGTCCGCCGCCTTATGCGGGTTGAAATCCCCGCCGAATCACTTTCAAAGACCAACAGGGGATTTGGGGGGTAGCCTTCGGGAAAAGGAAAGGTGGAAGACCCAGGTTCGAGTCCTGGACTGTGCAGTCCTTTCTTTTTTCCCCTGTTTTTTTGACTTTTTTTTGCCAGATTTGTTGCAGACCAGTGCCTCCATCTCCCTGGACGTGCTGTGGTGGTGTAGGCAGTATGCCGGCGGTACTTGCATGCAGACTGTAAAGGCACGGGCAGGCGGGCAAGCGGGCAGGCAGACAGTGGGCTTCCTCGTCCAGGCTAGAAGTGGGCTGGCTGTAAGGCACCTGCACCTACAAGAAGGAGCCCCAACCGAGACAGATATCAACCAGGGTTTATGTATGAGGTCTTTGTACCTACATTTCAACAACCAAACATCGCAGCGCAGTTGGCGTAGTGGTCAACGCGTCCACCAGCTTAACCACTCACGGTACACTACGGGTTGAAAACCCCGTCGAACCACTTTCAAAGACCGAATTTGGGGGAAACCATTAGAGCAGCTAAAGGTGGAAGACCCAGGTTCGACTCCTGGACTGCGCAGGCCTTTCTTTTTTCCTCCTGTTTTTTTTTTTGTTTTTTTCTTCTTTCCATTCTTTGACTTGGGCTTTCTTGCGGGCCAGTAAGGTATCATCTCCCTGAACGTGAGGTCGTGAGGTTTTGCCCTGTGCGGGCAGGATGTCGGCGGTACCTGCATATTACCAGGGCAAGCGGGCAGGCAGGCAGTCGGCTTGCTTCCTTTGTCCGGCCTGGAAATGACCTATACATGTAAAGCACCCGCACTTGTAGGAACTCAAGGAGTCGCAGCACAAACATCACCCGGGGTATATGTATTAGGTCTTTATGTTCACATCTCAACAACCAAACAAACAGCAGCGCAGTTGGCGTAGTGGTCAACGCGTCCGCCGGCTTGTACGGGTTGAAATTCCCGTCGAACCACGTTCAAAGACCGAATCGGGGGTAAGGGGGAATTCAACTTGAAAACAAGAAGCCAAAGGTGGAAGACCCAGGTTCGAGTCCTGGACTGCGCAATTATTTTTTCTGCCTGTTTTTTTGACTTTTGTTGTCTCGAAGTGAGTTGATTTGGCTGTGATCGTGGGTACAGGTAGCCGTGGGTGGGTGGTGTGGATTCTGTCTGGACGGCGAGTTCCTTCCATGCGAACACAAGATCCGCTCCTTCCCTTCCCTTCTTCTTACCTCGCCACAAGGAAAAGGAAGGGCCCACCCAACCAACCAACAGTGAGACCGAAGCATAAAAGCAACCAAGTAGCCCTGATGCTCCAACAAGAAAACAGAAAAAAGTTTGAGTGGAGTAGTAGTTTAACTCGCTGCCCTCCCAAACTCATGTCTGGAGTTGAGGCAGAGACTCGGGTGCGAATCCCGGCTCAAGCATATTTTTTGGTTATTTTTTTGCTCTTGAGATTGCAAGAGAAATCTGAGTACAATCTTGTGATAGCTTCACCACTTTTTTCTTTTTGTATTGAAAGTTTCTGGTCAGTTGAAAAGTGTGGATTGTGGAAGGCAAGAGGGTGGTGGTGAGAGTCCAGGTGGCTTTGGGCTGAAGAGCGGGAAGGTTCACTGCCGGAACTAAGCTGCCCACCGTAGGTGCACTTGCCAACCAGGCCCTGCCTTCGGCTTCCTATTGCATGTGGAACAGCTGGTCATCTATCGGAAAAACAGGCCCAAGTTTTTGAGTTATCCGCCCGACAGCTTTCTTCAGCGGCCTCGATGCGCTGTACCGCCACGCCCAAGACACTCTTCGATAACAACTGCTATGCCAGTCAACATTCAACCAAAAACCTGGGGCCTGGATCTTCTGCCCTTCACTGACATATTCCAACCTTTGGAGCGTCGATCGATTCAATCACTCCGTCTTCCATCCATGCAAGTGTCGCCTCCAACAGGCGCATCTCGACATCTCCTCGGCCCTCTTCAACTTCCACGCGGCGACAACGACATGCGATCACTAGAGGCGTATCCCACTTCGGCCATATTCACGCCTTCTTCACGATTACAAGCAGGAAGATTCTTCTTTGAGATGTCCATGCCGAGTATGGTGACACCTCTACGGGACGAAACGATGTTGCTTGCGAGCATCTTCGTACGAGAACAACAAGGACGAAGCTTTCGTCGAGACGAGTGGCAAAATCCAGGTCATGCTCCGGCGACTACATCAAAGATTCGAGTTTGCGCCAGAATGGCATATCAACGTGAGAACGGAAACCCACACAGTTGAGTTGTCGTCCAGGCCAGAAGACGGAAATATCATAGTCTTCAGTGCATCCAAACGCGCAGTCTCTTCACCCAAGCTTCTCCTTGTTGACTTTGGAATGTGTGCTAATCTTCATAATCTTGTCAGGTCCTTCCACGTCCCAGACACCGACGGCAGACACTCTACGAAACCTCAACCACCGAGCCCTCCTACAAGCCCCGACCGACCGATCCTCCCTCCTCATACCTCGACCATCCTACCTACAAACCGAAATACTTCATATCATCACTCCCCCTCATCGGCACACTATGCCCGACCCCCCTCGCATACACCCCCACGAGCTTCCCCTCTCCCCACGTATACGTCGTGTACCCGCTCTGCGGCGTATTCTGCGCCGTCGAATCCGGCTTCTGGTAATCGAACCCAAAGACACCAGCCCACTGCTTAATCGTCTCGTTATAATTATTCGCATTCAGCGTCGAATCCGAACTCCCATGGTAGATCTGCATCTTTGGTCTTTCTCCCTCATAGCCCGGGTACATGTCATGCACCATCTTCGCCCACACCTGGGGAGTCCCCCGCGCCTGGCCGTTGGCGCAGCTGCTGTTCCACGCGGCGGTACCACCAGATTGGGAGTAGAAGCATCCCGCGGGCGTGCCGGAGTAGACGATACCAGCGGCGAAGAGAGCAGGGTAAGTGGCGGCCATGACGTTGGTCATCATTGCCCCCGACGATGAGCCGGTGACGAAAACCTTGGTTGGATCGCCCTTGTAGGTGCGGAGGGTGTAGTCGACCATGTTGGCTATGGAGTTACTGTTTCCTCCACCGTTGTGTGTTAAGGTAGCACGAGAGGAAACGTCCCAGCAGGTGCCGGAGTAGGGGGACTCGGGGTAGATGACGATGAAGCCCTTTTGGTCGGCGAGACGGGCGTAGGGAGAACCGTTGTAGTAGGCTTGGGCTGTGCCGGTGCAGTAGTGGATGGCTACGATGATGGGAGGGGAAGAGGCGAGCTTGTCGGGGACGTAGATGTACATTTTGACTTTGGAGGGGTTGGAGCCGAAGTCGGAGACTTGACGGAGGGAGGCAGCGGGGGCGCGCTTGTAGTCGATGGGAGAGGAGGGGGTGGTGAGTTCGTCGAAGACGGGGTGGGCGGTGATGAGGCTGGCCAGGAGGGCCGTGGCTGTGGCGAGGGAAAGAAACTTCATGATGGTGGAATACTGGCGGCTCTTCCGAGGAGACTGTGCTGAGAAGGATGGAGGTGGAGGTTCGAGTGTCTCTGGCAGGTCGGTAGAGGATGGACATCAGCTTAAGAAGATGTTGAGCTTGTTGCCTCAGTCTACTGGCATGCTTCCTTCTCTCCGCTCTGATACTACCTCATTCCGTTCCCATGGAATGTGAAGGGTTTGTTTTTCTCCAGCACCTAAACTCGTTGTCCAATCGGGAATCCCTCGGATGCTTCATGCGATTTACCCGGAGCGGGCATCAAGTGATCAGCGTTTCCCCAGATCTCATCCCCGGGGTAATTGCCACGAGATCGAGGGGAACTCGGCATTAATGTGGACACTACACCTTGGATCCTTGGGAGTATGGTAGAGTATGATAGGTGGGATTTCTCCCGGAACTGCCTGTGTTATACACCTGCAAGTCCCTGTTGACCCTGCTCGTGCAGTTTCTCCTGCGGCAGGGCTAAAGTGATATGATATATCCGATCTGCCGGAGGCGAAGCGGAAGATCGTAATCCTCCCGTGCTTGGCAGGGACTTCTGCACGGCACGTCGCTATAGCATGGAAGCAGGTAATATGCACTATGGATGAATGGTGCACTCACACTTCTATGTCCGAACCACTGGGCTCAGACTTCGGCTCAACTTCTTGGACACAATTTACCGAGGCTCAACTGGCGCCAGTCGGCAGCAAAGACTTCCACTGAGAAGACTTGCTCAAGTTAAACGTTTGATCATTGCTATAACAGACCATTCTCTAGAGGTACCTTAGTTAGCTATAACGTACACGGTACAAGCTCCAAACAGATCTACAGTAAATATTCCCTCCTACTCCTACCCATAACAACCCCCATCCCCTCCTCCTCTCCCTCTCCTGCTCCTCTTCCCTCTTCTCCCCCCTCACAACATCCGCCCACGTCCTTCCACTCCTCCTATACTCCTCGCTGGTACGCCGATACATATACCGATCAACTCCCATCTGTTCTTCCAACACCGTCCAATCCAGTTTTAGGGGTGAAAGAGGGATGGGTTCGAAGTTGTACCCTGTTACATCATCGAACTGACGCTCCATCCGGGCGCGGTTGATAAAGGATTGAGCGGTTCGGAGACGGGTGAGCCAGCCTTGGATGAATGTCCAGGGGAGATGGGCATCTCCAACGGCAGTGGTGTAGGTGCAACATGAAACTTTGCTGGTGCCGGCGGACGTGGCGCCGAAGGAGCTGATGCTGGTTGTCGGTGGCACAAGCCCGGTGTCAAGGCTGGCGACTCCGAGCTCAACAGTTGTACTTGACGCCGCATCAGAGGCCAAGGGCTCCGGAAGAACATGACTGCCACGGGCTCTGTTCATGATTGCGCTGGAGCTGATGACCAAAGGTGGACAGCGTACGCCTTGTCGCCAGATCTCAACGACGTCCCTTGGGCTCGGTGGCACTGGGGGCAACGGCGGTTCCAAGCTGAGAACCACCGGCTTTGTCTTCCTCGGCGAAGGCGGCTCGCCATTCCAGCGTAGACGTTTGTCGATCCACCACCTGCCTACCACTTCCTCTTGGGATCTTTGCCAGCGTTCAACTTTCACTTCCACTCCTTGCATGTCACCACTCAAAGGCTTAACATTCTTCCCAAGCTCTACCAATCTCTCCTCCTTCCCTAGAAATACCTCTCCCATCCTTCCCTTTCCTCCCTCCATATCCTCCTCTCCTTCCATCTTCCCGAACACAGGCTCGGTCAACACAACAGGCTCGGGCACTCCCGAGCGTGGTTACTCCGGCCTGTACTCCCCATAATCATACCTCGTATCCGCACGAATCATGCCATGTCTCTCCCTCCACTCTTCCTTTTCGCGCTCGTGTCTCCTTCTTTCTCTTCTCTCTTGTCTGCGCCTTTCCCGCTCGCGCTCGTATTCGGAGTCGTAGCCGTCGTCTGACGTCTCACCCTCTTGGTCACGGTAGGCGGCTTGGGGGTTGTCGTGGTATTGCTGGTGGTGATCGTCTTCATCTTGTTGGTGGAGAAGGCCGGCGTTTTCGCCAGCCTCCTCTGCTTCATCGGCTTCTTGGACTTGGTGGTAACCATCGTTCCTGTGACGAGGGGCGCCATAAGGGGAGGTGCTCATCGGTCTCTGCTTCGCTGCGCTGTCCAGAAAGGAAGAAGACTGGGATGGACTAGAACCGTGGGATTTGGTGAAGAAGCTGGGCATTGACACCCTGTTGTTCGCTGCCGCGGCCGGGGAGGAAGATTGTTCAAAGACGGACCTCATTCTTTGGAACAGGGAGCTGCCTCCCCCGCTACCACTACCAGATCCACGGTTGTGCTCTGAAGAACGAGTACTGTCACCTGACAACCTAACCTCTTCAGTTCTCGACAGACTTCTTTCGCGCTCATGCCACAACTCCATCACCTTCTGCCCCTTCGGTACCGGCTCTCGGTCGTAAGACCGGTCGTTGTAAGAGGAACCGTACCCGCCACCGCTGTAATCCGTCCCCTCAGTCAGACCGCGGGGACGACCGATGTTGGCGCCCGTGCTATCACGGATGCGAGGGTCTTGAGCGCCGGGGGCAGTGTCAGACTCGGGGATGGGAGACGAAGGGCCAGAGGAGAGGGTCGTTCCGCTGCGGGCGGATTGGGGGGAGGAGATGGTGGGGAGGGTCGCCGAGGTGTCAGCGGTGGCGACGGTGTCGGAGCGCCAGGGACGGTTGGTTACGTCGCGGGGGATGAACTCTTCTTCCACTTCGTGGCCGTGATCTTCATCATGTGCGTGGGAAACGGCTTCATGGGCTGGAGAGGGTGGTGTGGCGGGGATGGTGAGAGGTGGGAGGTCGTGGTGGTTGGCTGGGTTGACAGTGTTGTTGTCGTCAGCTTCGGGATGCTGGGGCTGGTCGGGTGTTGATGGTCGATTTTGATCAGGATGCTCCTCGTGGGTAGTAGGCTCAGCGTCTGCAAACTGACCCTGGGCAAGCTCAG